TTAAACAATAGCAGGCCTCTATATAAGACTAATTAGAAATTAACGCAGATTACTATTAGAGCAAGCGCGCTTGAATGGCCTTAGTATAGGGACACACAACTAGCCTAGCTAAAGAATATCTAGAGCCTTAATATCTAGCTAACAGTCCTTTAGAGTTATTTTAGGACGCTGAAGAGATAATTGCCCTTCTTAAGTCCTATTTCATTACAGGAAATAAGAAGGCTAAGAGTAGAGCTGTATTTAACTAGCTTACTATAGACAAGAACAAATTATTCCCTGCGTTTAAAGCTTGTTTTCTTAGTGCAGCTATATGTGGACAAGTACCTAGAACAGAGTGGTTCTACTACCTATAGACTAAGGTTACCTTAGGACTTTGTGTGCCCAACCTAGGTTTTAAGAGGCAGTGGAATAATTTATTTAAACTTATAGTAGAGCACTTAACTGTGTTTAATATAGAGCAGAGTAACTAACCTAACCCTACAGGAATATTTAGATGTTCTAGTGCCCCTCTAACGCAGAGCTGAAATTGTTTTCCTTCAGACACTGCTAAAAAGGTCACACCTTCTAGAGATTACAATGCTTCGTCATCATATTAACGTCAGCCAAGCAGAGCACCATCTGTACCTGCTCTAAGGGCCTTCTCTAAGACCCCTAGACCTGTCAAGGAATCTACACCAACACCAACACCTAGTAACTGCTATAACTGCAGTAAGCCAGGACACTACGCTAATAACTGCCTAGTCCCACGCGTACGCAAGATTAAGTTAGCTAGTAATAAGGACCTTGTAGACGCCTCTAAAACATATAACTACAACACTAACAACTACAATTAGATAGGAAATAAAGAAGCCTAGGAGGAGTTCCCTTCCTAGGCATAAACTATTATAACTTATCTAATCTTAATTTGTCTTATTTATTTAGTAGTTTATATTTCCTTATTAAGTCTATTTTATGCTTAAAAGGCCTTAGTATCTATATTAACTTATTAATTAATACTAGAGCTTAAGGATACCTTTTTCTTAACTCTAAAATTACTTCTTTAATTTCTTTAGCTCTTTAGATTCCTATCTAAAAGCTACTCTTTAAGATTTTAGTAAAAGGTTTTAAGGACTAGATTTTAACCCTAGTTACGCAGTATATCTAACTCTACATAATTATAGACAGTAGAAAGATATATAACTGTCTATTTATAATTATAGACTTAGGTTTATAAGACTGCATTATTAGAATCTAGTGGCTAAGAAGATTTAAGCTCTAGCTAGATTTAGAGTGTTCTTAACTTATTTAGCTAAACTAGTACCTAGCTGTTTATAACCCTGCTCTGCTAATACTTATGTCCCTCTATTAAAATATTGTATTGCAATATATTACTCTTAATATTTAATAATGTAATAACTTATAGGAATAGGATAAGTATTAGAGAAGCTACAGCACACTAGTTATCTATTAAATTAGAGGATTACTCTACGCGCTAAAGAGTTAGAAGTTTACACCTTCTGCAATTCTAAGTTTACCTCTAGACTTGCAATAACTAACTCTTAAAACCCCTCTAAATCCTTTACCTTTACCTTCTATTACTCTTATTTCTATAAATATATTCTATTTTAATATAAAAAGAAAAGAAAATAAATTCTTTACAACTAGTTTATATAAGATAAACTAACTAATTATAGACAAGAAACTAGAGGACAACCCTAAGAATACTGCGCTTGTTAACGCACAACTTCTAGCTTGTTATAACGTACTCCACAAGCGAGCTGGCCACCCAAGCGAGCTGGCCACTTTTGCCAAGACCACACCAAACTTCACTCTCCCTGTAATGCCTCAACGCAACAACGTAAAAAAGCCTTCAAATGAAACACATATACAGCTTGCCCTCCAGGCTATCCAGCAAGACGCGACACTAAGCGTGCGACGCGCTGCAGCAATATACCAGGTCTCTCAAAGCACCCTAGGCACGCGCCTTACTGGAACCTCTTCACGACGCGATTGCAAGCCCAACATGATAAGGATGACTAGTACTG